AATATACGAAAGTGCAAACTTATGTTGATATCTTTTATAAAAAAGAAAATTAACATCTTTTTTTTTTTTTGTATATGCAAACGTTAGCGTTTGCTTAAAATTTTTAAACACACGCTTCATGAAAACACACGAAACATTACTTCAGCAATTTTTCCAAATGATTATGCATTTGATGGTTCTTTATTTATTATAAAAAACACATATTTATTATAAAAAAAAAAAAATTAGTTACTAAAATTTAAAACACATTTTTAAGACCTAAAAAGAAACTATAATATAATTATTTCTTACAAAAGCATTACTATTAAACTATCAAAGATAGTAGTTATGTTTTAGCATGGTTTTTGCATGCATTAACAAAAGTTTTACTTAAAATGAATGCATTTGCAATTACTTTAAAAGAAACCATGCTTAAATATCACAATTTCTTTTTTTTTTTGTTGCTTACTTTTTTTTTTAATTTTCTTACTCTTTTATAATCTTTTCTTTCACTTGATATGAAAAAAGAAAAATTAACACCTTCTTTTGACTCTTTCCTTAACTTTTTTTGTAGTTCTCAGTGCACATAAAAACTAACCTTTTATATAGAAATAAGCTACTATATTGCTTGTGGGTTCGTTTTTAAAAGTAATCTTTAAACATTAACAAGTCTTTTCATCTTTAGAATAAGCTTATATTTCATGTGGATTTGTTTTAAATTTTTTTTAATAAAAATTGTTTTCTTTTATAATTAAATTTTTTTATTTTTAAAATCGGCTATGATTGCTTGCGGGTTAGTAATTTTTTTTTCAAATTTAGCTTTTTCTCTTTGATAAATTAATCTTTTTTTAAAAAAAAAAAATTGGCTAAGATTGCTTGTGGGTTTGTTATTCTTTTTTAAATCTTTTAAAAATTTTTTTTGTTTAATATTAATATATCATAACTTTTTGTAAAGGCTAAAAAGTATAAAATTAATTATAGCAAAAACATTTGCTCAAAAATATAATTTTTTTTGTACTGAAATGTCAAAACAACTTTTTTTTTATTTTTAGCTCTTTTATTTTAATTTTTTCAAGTTTGTCTGTTTGTTTTTTTATTTACAAAAAAACTTAGCGAAGTAAATTGAGAAAAATTCATTATTTAGTTTCAATGGATAACAATTTACAATCGTTAGGTTATTGATTATTAGTTATCATTATTTTGTGCGCACTTTGCGAATGCATAAAAAAATATTTTGAAGATATAAAAATTAATTAAATTCAATAAGAATCATTGATATATCTAATAACTTATTAACTTAAAAAGAATTTAAAAGTAAAACTTCCTTTTATGACATATATCTTTTGAATTAGATGTTTGTCATTAAATAGTTCCTTAAAAAGTTCCTTAAGCGTCATTTTTTTTTAGTTTTTAAATAATTTTTTTTAAACAGAGCAATCTTTATGTTCATTATCTGTTGAAATTTAAATTATAATTGGAAATTAGGCAATGTAAAAGAAACAATTTCAGACATGTATCAAATGCGATATATACATTTATTAAAGAAACCATTTTATTCTTATATTTAAGTTATTCCATCATTACAAAATTTATTAATCAAACTATATTTTATACAAATGAATTTATTTTCTTATACAAATAAATTTATTTTCTTATTTTTTTATTATATAAGTATTGAGAGAAAAACATCAAATATAGTAAAAACATTTTTAAAAGCGTAAAGATGTATAAAATGAATAAACGTAAGAAAAAAAAATTAACAAAATTTCTTATAGTTCTAGCTTACTAGCAAATTAGTTTCTTAATTATATGGGGTTATAAAAATTGTAAATAAATTGCATATCGTTATATAAGATAATTTTCAACCAAAGTTGTATAAAAATTTTGTAAAAAAAAAATTTTTGTTTATTTTTTTAGTTGTTAAATTTTCTAGTTTATTGATATTTTGTTGCAATTTTGTTTCCTATTTTTAGGATAGATTTTTAATAAATACGGCTGCGTATAAACTTTTTTTAAATATATATATTTTTTCTTTAATATATAATTATTTAATATTTAATTTTCTTAGTTGATAAGTTTAGCTTTTTGCTGCAAATTATTGAAACGCTTTATCAGTTAAAAGATGCAAAGTGCCATGGTCAGTTTTGCTGAAAAAATTATTTTATTCGTGAACAAACATGTCATGAGACCGCTCTTTCTGGGCACGCTCTTCCTGGGAAGTCTTGTGGCTTAAGCTGTTGCTTTAGCTCTAGCTTCAGATATTATGGATCTAAATACAAATTTTAATGGTTTTTAAAGAACTTTTCTAGAAAAGTTGCTCTAAAATTTTTAGCTGACTCATTAGTATATAGTAAAACCTTTTAAGTTGTGTTTTATTATAATAATTCTATGTTTTATGCAATTTTTTTTTTACAGAAAAATACCTCAAGAAAGTATATTGCTTCGCACTTTTAAAAACAACAAAGAAATTATATTTAAGGTATGCTTGAATTGGTGATTTATTTAGGCCATAAAAAACTTA